CTGGCTTACTATTTCATAGTTTGTAAAATGTAATTCACATGTATATGTGTCTTTATTTTATAATAGCCTTTATGATAAGCCTTTGTTTAAGTAAACGTGTATTGACCATGACTGCAAATTAGTTTTGGAAAAGAAAGTAAATTATCTTATTTAGCTAATTATGGTATTTTCTATATTGGAATCCAGTAGCAAGTAACAAGTTTTGAGTATGTAGTAATACTCTCTTAAATTAAAGGAGTAGGAAGGATGAGGGAGACATAGATTATTAGATATTTATCATTCCAAGCATCTGTTTTAAGAACTTTGCATATATTATCTACATATATTATCTTCTGTACAGCCTGTAAGATTGGTATTATTCCTTGTGTCCATTTTATATATGAGGAAACAGACACAGAGACATTAGTAAATGGTTCAGTCTTGACATACATGCAGGCAGCATAGAACTGCAAATGAGATCTTTGGCTGCAAAGTAAATTTCCAATTTATGTGTGTAGAATTACTACAGCCAGTAGTACTAATGTAATTTTCATGAATACAGACTGGTAGCAAGCTACATTATAAAATAAAATGTAGATGGAGGGATTGATCTGTAAACATTGGCACATAAGAAATAAAGTAATAATTTTGAAGGAACAAGATTATGCTCATGCATATAGTTCAACATTCCCTTGAATATTAGCATGAAAGTCAAGAGAAACATAAATATATTTGTATGCTAATCAGCTGAAACCTGATGGCACAGCAATGCTTTCTTGAATTTTGAACCATATATGAGTAATAAATTTAGATTAGGTTGTTACAGGGATAATCCAAACACATTCCCTCTTATTATCTAGTTAGTTGTTTGAAAACTACCTATGCAATGTGAAGCTCATGTTATTACTGTAATGCGTTGTATTGGTCTACTCTCTGTTTTTCTGGTGTCTCCCTCATTTCTAACTCAAGTCTTTCTTTAATACCAGCACATTGAATTTGGATTTTTTTTTTTGAGGCAGAGTCTCACTTTGTCGCTAGGCTGGAGTGCAGTGGTATGATCTCTGCTCACTGCAACCTCCTCCTTCCAGATCCAAGCGATTCTCCTGTCTCCGCCTCCCGAGTAGCTGGGACTACAGGCGTGCACCACCATACCCAGCTAATTTTTGTATTTTTAGTAGAGACAGGGTTTCACCATGTTGGCCAGGATGGTCTTGATCTCTTGACCTCATGATCTGCCTGACTAGGACTCCATAAGTGCCAAAGTGCTGGGATTACAGGTGTGAGCTACTGTGCCCAACCGGATGTTTTTAAGTGTTAGAATGCATCCTGTATACAAACAATATGGTTCATGTACATTTAAACACATTCCAAAACTAGGTTCCATTTAGATTGTAAAGTAATAATTTGCTCATTCAATAAATATTCATTGATCTCATGGCCACTTTGGCGAGAGGCCAATAGCTAAAATAATTGAATAAATTGAAGCATTTCTCAGCTGCTAGACACTCGAAGCTAGATTTGGTTTATGTGTGGGTTAGAATTGTGGAAACGTGCCTGGGTTTATTACTGGAAATACTACTGTTACCTAGAGTTAATGACGCATCAACTGAAACACAATGCCAGAATAAGAAATGACAAAACAGTTCATATTATAGCTATATTTTATTTTCATCTTTATCAAACCAAAATATCTAGAAATGTCTGCTAAAAGACACTGTATCTTGAGTATTGTGTAAAATACTTAGCAAATGTGAACCATTAAGATGGCTAAAGATGGATTTGGTAGAACTTTTCAACACAGCGAGTAATGGAAAAATATTATATGCTAATTTTTGCATTGTGACTAATATATGTGTTGTTTTGATAGGGAATACACAAACACACAGAATCATTAAAAAAAAAAAAAAAACACAAATGCCATTAAATGTGGGGGCAAAATGTATGGTACTTGTAGAGGCCGCCATTCAAGTTGAATGTGCATTATACTTTCCCGAATTTGGAGACAAACAGGCAAAGGTCTTCTATAGCCTTATACACTTCCCAGATTCGCCTTTAAGGGAAAGGCCTGGGAAGTGATCTGGCAACACCGCGCCGTATGTCCAGCTTATGGCCACAGGACTCTGTTTTCCTTCTCAGCTGATGCCTGTGCTTTTCACATCTGTTATTCTGCGCCCGTGTTGATTCTTCAGCAGTCCCAGTTGAGCTAATTGGCTGATTGCATTCCTCTGTGCTGGTGGAGCTGGGAAAGGAAATGACTTCTGACCTAGTTTTCTCCTTGGACTTTTCTGTAGAGTCTGGTGGTGTATGCCATAGCGTTGTCAAGCCATATACACTTTCTTATGCTTCTTGTAGGTATGAAATAGTTCTCATTACCTAGCACTCAGGTGTTTTTAATTCAGGGGTTTATCAAACCAGTCTAGTGGAGTTCTGGCCACTCACCCAGGGCTGGCCACAGCTGTTGACACCAGTGTGTGTGTGGCCTTTGACACAGACACACACAGATTCACATCATAACTTTTTGGTGCACATTTTGTTGATTTTGTTCAGCCAAGATGATGTTCATGTGTTCTCTTGTATTTGTTAGTAGGTCTCCACATTAGTATGGTCCTGCTCAATATTTATGTTTTATTCTTTTGAGTAATTTCAGCACAGATGGCTTTTACTGAGACTTGCTGTTCCATTGGCAGAGTCCATTTAATATGTAGCATTTGCAGGTGCCCATTAGCATAACTATCCTTAGAAAAGAATTCTGGAATCCCCCTTGTATGTTGTTTTTGCTGCTGACTCAGAAGAGTAGTGATACATTTCAGATCTTCAGTATTTGGCTCTTTCTAGCTGTCATGAGACTTAAAGAAATTTAGGTTTATTAAAATTCCATAAGCATTTGTAAAATCTGTTTTGACATTGATAAAGAAGGGCCATTATGAAAGATAATTAATTTAAATATGTGAAAGCTTTATCTTAACTTCTCTTGATGTGTTTGAAAGCAAATTTAAAATGATTTGTAGTTTAATGAAGGTATATCCCTGCTGGCAGTATCCAAATATCAGATGTGCAGTTATTTTTTGTCTTATATGCGGATACGGCTTTCACCAAATCTTGTGATTTTTCTGTGCAGTACTGTTTGGGGCCTTATCACTTTGCCTCTTATTAGCTACTATAGCCTTCTGATTGATCTGGCTTCTAGTTATTTTCCTCATTCCTCAATTCATTCTGCAAATAGGCACTTGAGTAATCTTCTGAATGAACCGCTCTAATGGTGTCCCTGAATTGCGAAAGGCTTCTGGTTGCTTCTGATTACCCTAAGACAACTTTTGTGTCTGCCTGTGAGGACCCTCTCTTGGTTTGGCTCCTCATCTCCATTTCTACCTTTTACTAGAGCCCTTCTCTTTGCTCATTATTCTCTTGCCTGTCAGTCTGATCTGTTCTCTAAATCTAGAATGTCCAATTATCTTCTCTCCAAGCAAGATCTGATCTGATTTCTTACTGGCTCTCAAGAAAGTTAATTCCTTTGTGAAAATGTTCCCTTGGCTATCCTAGTCTATAGAGGTCTTTTACTCCTCTTTTTAATTAACGCGCTTCTCCACCCCCACTTTTCCTCCCTAACACTGAAGAACATAGTTTTTACTTTTGTGGCTTGGTAAGCTTATACGTGACTGGGTGTCCTACCTTTCGTTAGACTAGAAACAGAGAGACAGCATGGCTTAACATAGTGGTTAAGTGAGTGGTAAATCTTGGGTTTAGACTTGGGTCTACATTGTAGCTCTAAGCAAGTTACTTTCTCTGTGCCTCAGTTGCCTTATCTGAGTATCAGGGCTGATAGTAATTCCTCACCATGAGTTGGCTTTTTTCTTTCATTCGAGAACAGTCATTTCTCTCTAATACTACTAAGTATAATACCTAGTAGTACTGAACACATTTTGTTTGCCATTAATCCTCTCTGTCCATTCTTCCTAGGGATTTTCTTGGTCTAGTTCACCACATAAACAATTTAGAGAGATCTCTCACCTTGTTTAGAACAGGGCAATTCTTTGAATCATATACAGGCTAAACTAGAAGGCACGTGTCTTTCCCTGGAACAACTGCACATTTTCTTGACATACATATCCAGATGGTGTTGGTGCCCTTATTTTATGGACATATGAAGTTGCATTGAATTTATGGTAGTTAAGTTCTTATGTGGCATAACAATCTAGAATCAGAACATCGGAGTTTGTCCCGGCTCTGCTATTTATAGAAAATCAACCTTCTAGAGTTTTAGTTTCTTTTTTTAAAATTAAGTTAAATTAAATTTCTTTAATTTTAAAATTTTTGTGAGTACATAGTAGGTGTATGTATTTATGAGGTACATGAGATATTTTGATATAGGCATACAATGTGACATAAGCACTTAGTTTCTTTATATGTGAAATGCAGTGTTAATATCAGACCTCTCATTTTCAGTGTTATTCTGAGTCTTGAAAAGAAGAATCATGTAGTTGTATGTTAATGAATGTTATAGTGTATTTTATTTAATCCATTTTTAGACACTTACAATATGCTGGTGTTAACTCATGCAATAACTAATTGAACCATCAGAGCGATTTTGTGAGGGGGTGCTAATACATTATACAGAAGATCAAACTACAGAGCTTAATTAATTAAGCTATGTGCTTTCTCATTTTGTCTCCTCAGCCAACAGTTCCAATAATTTCAGCGGCATCTGAAGTTAAGCCAATTATGCATTCAAAACTTCCAACTTTTTTCTATTTTTATTTTAGCTTAAAACATAAAAAGAAAAACGCAATGCCTGTGAACTCAAAATAACAAAACTGCTCTGTGATTAAAAGCACAAAATGCTGTGCAAACATTTGAAAGTCACATGGTAAAATTAATGGATATTGAGCTTATTTTACCTATTATTGGAAGTTAGATACGTCAGTATTTCAGCAATGAAAACATTGCAGATGTGTAATATACAAAACATATACTGTAAAGATAGTTTGGAAACTTATGGGCTTTAATCTTTTTATCTATTTCAGGACTTTCTGGGACAAGTGTTTTGTACATTGGGAGAGATTGTTGGTTCACAGGGAAGTCGCCTGGAAAAACCAATAGTGTAAGTATTTTTTAATTCAGATAATGAAATGCCTACCCTTAACAGTTTTCTATTTTGTCAGTTTGGAATTGGTGAATGCATGGTTGTGGACCAAAAGGGGTTTTAAAATCTTGTTTGAGTTTTTTCTTCCAACAAATAGTTTTGACATTGTTTTAAAGAAGAATTTCTTTGTCACCTGCCATAGGCTGTGCTGAAAAATTTTCACAAGATGAAATGAGAAAATTTAAACAAGGAAATTTGTTGGTTTTCTTTTGGTTGTACTATTAATTGTTATATTTAGTGCTTTTTGAAAGAGATTTTACTCTTTGGGATTAGTAGCTATATGTAGTAAACTACTGTTAATACCATGTATTTCATAAATGCATTTTTGGTTATTGAAATTTTAATAATAATTTTTACCATGGAAGTGGCTGGTAGAGAAAGCTGTAAGTAGGTAAATATTGAGAGAGGGTAATGGCTAAGAGTGATATCTTCCATCTTCACCTTCAATTACTAGGAACATGTTTAGATTTCAGGTTAATTGCATGAGTTGATTCTGTTTTGTTCAGTTCCAAATAAGGCACAGAGCAAATTTTAGAAATTTTTCATGGCTTTATTCTCCTTTCCTCTTTCTTTCCCCTTCTTAATCTTGATTATTTGGATTGACTTAACTGTACATGAAATTCAGAAGATCTAGAAAGAATAGCACATTTGCAGAGCTAACCAAAATGTCCAAAGCTTCAGGGAATTTTGAAGTCTTTATCTTCAACAATCTTTTAAGAATCTCAAACTTAAAAAGTAAATATGTTAATACTCCTTAAATCTGTTTATCTTGGACATAAAACAAATACTTGAAATGACAAGGCATTGTTCTCACATTTTCTGTATAAAATTATAAACTTTTATTTAGTGTGTTCCGTGCTATGCAAGAAATTATTAGGCTAATAAGAATTCTATAAATTCTAATTTTTTGAAATTTAATTTGATTTTCTTAGAAAATTAGTACTGAATGTCAGTTTGAAAATTTTCATATATCAACTACCATTTTAAATTCTTTTAGTGTTTATTTTCACATAATTATAGGACTTGGAAGCTTATCACTAAAATATATTTATGCTCGCTTTAGTAAGCAGTAAGCAATCTGTAAGGCAAATGCAAATGTTGTATTGAGTGTATGTAATTCTAATTGCATTTTCCAGTCCAGTGACTCATGCTCACAGTGATTGCAAGTATCACTAAATCTACCTTTTGTTTTTTGCCACAAAAAGCATCAATAATATGTACAATACCACCTTAAAGATGCCTTTAACATTCTTCAAGAGAAAACAAATGCAATTAAAATACAGAATTTTTATTTCCAAACAACAGAATAGAGATTTTTATAAATTGGTACACTTTTTTAGTATGTATGTATTTATTTATTTGTTAGCTTTTATTTTAGGTTCAGAGGTACTCGTGCAGGTTTGTTGTATAGATAAATTGTGCAGCTCAGAGATTTGGCATACAGATGATTTCATCACCCAGGTAATAATTATAGTACTTGATAGGCAGCTTTTCAGTCCTCACTTTCCTCCCTTTTCCACCCTCAAGTAGGCTCCAGTGTCTGTTGTTTCATGACTACTCAAAGTTTATCTCTCACTTATAAGTGAGAACATGTGGTATTTGGTTTTCTGTTCCTGTGTGCATTTGCCCAGGATAATGGCCTCTAGCTTCATTCCTGTTGCTACAAAAGATAAGATCTCAGACTTTTTTATGTCTTTCTAATATTCCATCTTGTATATTTACCACATTTCGTTTATCCAGTCCACCATTGGTGGGCATTTAGGTTGAGTCCATGTCTTTGCTATTGTGAATAGTGCTGCAATGAATATACACATGAATGTCTTTATAGTAGAACAATTTATATTCCTTTCGCTATGTACTCAGTAATGGGATTTCAGGGTCAAATGGTAATTCTGTTTTAAGTTCTTTGAGAAATCACCAAATTGCTTTATACAATGGCTAAACTAATTTACATTTCCGCCAGCAGCACATAAGTGTTCCCTTTTCTCTGCAACCTCACCAGCATCTGTTACTTTTTGACTTATTAATAATGACCACTCTGACTGTTCTGAGATGGCATCTGATTATGGTTTTTACTTGCATGTCTCTAATGATTAGTGATGTTGAACATTTTTTCCTACGCTTGTTGGCTATGTGGTATACATATAAAATAGTCATTTATTGGAATTTTTTATGTTTTTTTCAACATAAGGAAATCATAATTCTAATTTCAGAAACCTGTTAAATTATTAAGTTATAAAAAAATTTCCCAATAGAAAATCCTATTTATATTCATCTTGGAACATGTTAAAAATTTGATACTATTATAATGTATTGATTGGGGTATGTGGTGAATAGAACATGGCACAAGATAATGGTCCTTGTTCAGTGATCCAACAATTCCCACTAGGTGAGACCAACAAAAATGTATTATGCTAAGAGGTGAAGATACCTTGGATAGACTGAAAGACAAGGCCCTCAGGTTCTATCTTTCTTACTGAAAAAAGAACAATTCATTTGATTTTCTAAGTTTATATAACTAAGTTTTTATTCAGCCCTTCATCTCCTTGGACAATCTTCTCAGGCAAATAAACGTTAAGAAAATAGTTTAAAGGTAAGATTATTGTTTGAGCAGTGGAAGATTTTTAAATTTTTCTAAGAAAGCTTAGCTAGACAAGTTTTAGTAGTAAGTGGGTAATAAAATGTAAAGCTTGAGTGTAGCAAAGAGATGGGATACAGAACAAAAAAGCAAAGAAACAAAACCTTAGGAATTGCAGAATGGTGGCAATTACATTCATTACACATGAGTGAATTGGATTAGATACTTAGATAAGCAGAACAGAGAAAAGAGATGAGAGGGAGAAATGAAATAGGAGAGATTAAAAATGGGAGATTAAAAGTGAATATGATTAGTTTGCTAGTGGAAGGATATTTTGATTTTATTTATTAAGGCATCTAGTGACATGTGCTGTCACTGGATCAGATGTTCCAATGCAGGTGAACAATGGATTGGAAAAACCATTTAGTAGTCACCCATCCTCTTGCATGAGAAAAGATTGGGTTTAACGAAAAACTCTAGCTGTGAGAGAGTCACATGTCTTGCGGAAGAACACGTGGATTGGAGATAAACGTTCATCAGCTAAGTGTTAAGTTCAGGTACTTTAAGAGAAGATGCAGCTTCTGTGCAAATAGCATTGTACCTCAAATGAAAAACAATCAAAACCATTCATACCTTTTGTTTGAAAAAGCATGGTTGGGTTGAGGAAAAGCAAAATGCTGTTTGCATGGAAGCTTTATCTGCCAGTGATGCCAGAGTAGCCCATCAGAGCAGCTGGTCCACTACATGGACTCCTAAATTCTGCATTCATCCTTGCTGGCTCCTGCTTTTCCATGTACTTTAATTTTTTCCCCGGATCAATCTAATAAGCAAATAGTGGGAAGAGATGGGAACACAGTGGAAGAGGGAATGGCGTTGGATAAAAGGATGAAACCAGGGAAGATATTGGAGATGATGCAGGGTCAGGAAGTGTTTTCTTCTCATGACAGGAAGCTTGGTGACAAACACAACTTCTAAGCCTCCATGTTTACACACAAATAAATAAAAGTAGTAAAATTTACAAATTCATGACCGAAATAATGGGGATATTCACAATGGGGAAATAATAGCTATTTTAGGTGTAGCTCTTCCAACTAGTCTTCATAGTTTCCACTCCCTCCTGCTGTCTTCCTGTGTGAACCTGCCCTGGCCAGATATCTTTAACTGCCTGGTTAAAGATAACATTGTAGGACAGCCGCTAAACATTCTACTGTTTTTCATTGTCTGTTCCTCATGACTGGGGATACAAATAGAATTTGCACACTTCTGCTGCTACAGCCATTACTTTCTGCAATCATGTTGGTAAGGGGTTAGGATTTTCCCTATCTGGATGGGCATTGGCTTCTGAATTGCAGCGTAGGACACCTCCAGAGGCAGATATCCAGAGGCAGATAGTCCACTCCAAGTAATACACAATTAATTTATCATGAATTTAAAGTCTTCGTGTGTCCAAAATGTCATTTAAGTAGCATTAGCCAAGTACCTCTTATTTATTAATTTGTCTTAGATTAGAGATTTATTTTCCAATTAGTTTCCCATTTATATTCTAAGTTATTTAGAATACTTCCTTGTTTTTTTTTCTATCCTTTAAATGGCCTAATTTAAATTATTTTCTGATAAGATACTCAGAATAATTTCTTCTAGCTGTTTAATTGTGATTGTGTTGTAATATCTCCTTAGAAGTAGTCTTTTTAAATTTATGATAACTATAAAATTGGGAGTTTTAAAGGAGACCTATTAGTATTTGAAATTATTTAATATTAATCAAACTTTTGACAACTAAGGATGATTACGAAGGTAAAGTGATTTCTTGTATGTAGCCTCTTACCTCGTTCAGTAATGAGGGTTTGAACTTAACCTCAGGCTTTTTTACTTTCTGTGTTTTGGTTATTGTTGTCATTTATAAAATTACATTTTCTCATTTTATTAGAAAAAAATTTTATTTTAAATATTTTATATGCGTAATGATGACATAATTTGAAATTGATGTTCAATAATTTTTAGTTTATTTTTTAATAGCAGCTCAAGATTTTTGCAATTTCAATAGTCTGTTCTGTTGGATTTAAGCTTTGAGCAAACACGTTTCTTATCTGAATTCCATCCTACACTTTTGGTCTTTTCCTGGAACCCTCCTAAAATGAGTCTTGTGCTACTTAATTTGACTGAAACATTTACTGTGCTTCCTATGACTCATCGGCTCCTCTCTTTAAATCATCCCATTATTATTTAGCATTATACCCACTCAGCAGTGTGTTTTCTCATGCTGTGAAATTGTATCCAATTTTCTGTGTGATGCTGTCTAAGAGTCGTATGTCTTCTATCTTTAGGGATCTCAGTGATGGATTCAGCAAAGCCTTCCAAAATGCAAGAATCAGCATCGGTT